AGAGAGGCGCCAGCTGGCCGGCAGAGCGCAGGGGCCCTCGGCTGCCCCTCCCCCCTCGGGCGGACTTGCTGGTTTGCTCCCCAGGATCAGAGCCCCGGCTGGCCAAGGGCCCCTCCAGCTCCGCGGCCTGGCCCTTGGCCTGGAAGGCCCCTGAGGCGGGGAGGGGAAACGGCCAGTGGGTCGCTGGGCCGCTGCTTCTGGCTGCATCCTGCCTCAAAGGATGCGGAGGTGGCTTCCCCGACCTCGAGCGTCCCTTGAGGTCAGGGGCCAGGGATGCGGAGCATGGGGCATGACCCAAACTTTAAAGCGAGCTCTTGGCCAGGAGGAGTCAAAAAAGTCAAGATGGCAGCCGCCACCGTGCCATCAGAGGCCCACCCCCTCCTCTGCAAATAAGACCATTGGCTTTTTGACCCTGGCAAATTCGGGCACTAATTTACAATTCCAGGCTCATCTGAAAAACACCTTTGTGAGGAAGGAGAGGAGGGGACAGAAAGCTTCGATGCCCTCCAGCGCCTTCGGTTCAGTGTGCGATTCCTGCTCTTAGAAAAGCAAAAGACGACCAAATCATTTTCTGCATGTTTTTGCGGTTGGGGAATCGCCCTGGGATCCCAGAAGAGAGGTCTGGCCTCTGAAAAGATCAGCCGGGTCAATACCTTTTCTCCAAGACAACTCTAATCCCAAGAGCAGGGGTGTCCATGTGGAGGGGGAGTCACAAAAGTCAAGATGGCAGCCGCCACCACGCCAACTCTATTCTATTCTGCTACTGCACACAGTTGTTTGAAAAATTCTTGGGCTGTTGCCCACAAATGTAAATCTGTTACGTGCTCAACTTGTCCACTTGGAGGGTCTACACAACCATCAGCAAAACCTCACAAGCCTTTCTCGGGGTGACCCTCTAGCAGCTGCTTCCTTAAGGGAGGGAGACCAGGGAGGTCACAAAGACTTCTTCAGACCACCCGGAGCACCCAGAGGCCAATCCTGCGTGACTGGGCCCAGGCCCTTCAGGGCCCTGTTGCCCCTGTGGCCATGAGTTCCACCGTTAACAGGCACCGTATAAAGGAGCTGTTCTGCTTATGGGTCCAGAATGGCTCTGATCTGGTTTCGGTGGGTGACGCTGAGTTCTAACACGGGTCAGAGCCACCCAACGTGCTAGCTGAGGATCAAGTGAGGCTGAATCGTTGGGGACTCAGAGGGTTGTAGGAATCCAGCCCCAGTGCGAAACCGGACACGAGGGTCCCCGACAGCCGATGCTTTATCTCGGCACCGCACATGACTGGAGGCCGGCGCTGTGCTGCGTTACGCCGGGTTTCGAACCCGCCAGGCTGACTAGCTGTTTCCAGCGCGTTCCTTCTCCCAGCCCATTTTAAATCTCGGTGGGCGGAAGGGAGGGGGAGCTTCCTTCAGCGTCGCCTTCCCCAACCGGGCGCCCTCCACTTTCCTGCTTAGCTCCCATAATCCTCGACCAACCGGGGGGGCCTTGGGGAGGGCTCCTCCGGCGTGTCGCTGGCAAAGGGGAGGCTTCCGCGGCCCTGGAGGGGCGCGAGCGTCCGCTTCGGGGGGCCCCTCTCCACCCCG